TGAAAGGCAAAGAATGAGGAGTTGATGTAGCAGGCGGCCTAGTTTATATAGTGCAGCCGGACGTTGCGCGTCGATGCCAGTAAGCCGGTCTTGAGCGGTTGTGCGCTACCGGTATGTCAGAAATAGACGATCAGTAACAACAATCGCCGGAGAAGTTGAGTCCGTTCCCACCGCAAAGAAAGTCCGTATGAGATGAGTTGATGGCTAAGCAAGAGGATGTCTTTGTAGCGGTCGATAAAAAGACGTTCGGTGATACAAATGCCGGCCGAGTCGGGTTGCTGTCAAGTTCAGTGACTGTATCGCAGGAGGACCGAGGACACTGCGCTATCCGATGCGCAGAGCATGTTGAGAGCAGCCACCAAGACTCTCAACACATGAAGACCCGCATCGCGTCTGTTGAGTGTTGCCGGCCACGTCGAACCGATGTTCAAGATACCATCCGTCGGAACTCGAGCAAGGCAGAGGATGCGCCGTCGACCGGAGGTAAGTATTCCTCACGGCGCTTTAGGGCGTAACAAGCTGGATGTGAGAAGAGTCACGGACTACAGTGGGTGCAGCGTTCGGCCGCTCGATGGCCAGCACCTACTAGTGGCATCTAGGTCGCCCCGCCGGATGGTGGTGCGGATTATCCGTCGACTTGGACCGTCGGGGTCGAATGATGTGCGGGGCAGACCCAGTCCGTAGGCGTCGATGGTTCTGTCTCCGACTTGAATGAAAGGTGTAGTTGTTTTCGTGGCAGGCTCCTTAACCCGCAGATCCATCCACAGAAGGGCGCTAGGCGAGTTGCTTGCGCAGATGTCGATACAAAGTCACGCTGCTGTGCTGTTGACTGGCGACAGATCCCTACATCGACGTCGTGGACAAGTCGTGTGCCGCTATCCCCGCCGCATGCTCTCAGTCGCGGGCTCTCCGAGTCTGCCGCCCCTGACGATCTTGCTCATGCCCACCATAAGCGCCAGCCTGTATGGCCTCGGCTCTGATGATGGCTTATCTCAGTCCAGCAAGCGCCCGCGAATACACCATCCGCAGCGCAGTCTCTCAGTCAACATGCGAGCGCCGCCCTGCCAACATGGCCGTCGAGGGACGTCGGTGAACAAAGCAGGCGGCATCGGCCGTCGTCGGACACGTCCTAACAAGGAACCATATGCTCTCTCGCTCTCCCATACTGCACACCGCATGCTACGACTCGCTCGGCCGCTCTAGTATCGTCCGTTGATCCTAAGCCTATTGGAACAGGGATACACTAGATAAGAACTCTCGGGCGGACAAGTTCGCTTTTGATCTTGCACACGATGAGCTCCTCCACACCCCCAACCTTCTATCTCTGCCTTGATTGCGGCGGCACCAAGACTGCCGCTGTGCTCTCCAACTCGGATGGCTCCATCGCGGCTCGTGCGCTGGGAGGCGGCTCTAATGTGTCTTACCTCGGCATCGAAGCCTTTCTGGCTGTCGTGCGGAGCGTCACGGCCAGCGTAGTCGCACTGGCGCTAAACATCCCGCCCCCAGTGCTCCCCGTGACCGACGGCCAAGACGCGTCGGGTCTGCAAGTCCGCCCGTTCACGATCAAAGCAGCATGGTTGGGCGTCTCCGGCTGCGATTCTCCCGCGATGGCTCAGAAGCTGTACGCGCCCGTCGCGGAGTTACTCTCCCTCCCGACTCCACCCTGCCCAAACCTCATCATCTCGAATGACACCCATCTCCTCGCTGCGCCCGTACGCACCCTTCCAGATGTGGACTCCGCCGTGGCCATCATCGGTGGTACAGGCTCGATCGTCGTGTCTTTCCGTGAAGGCCAGGACGCCGGCGCACCGCTGATCGAGCTCGCGCGCACGGGTGGTTACGGCTGGATACTCGGCGACGAAGGTGGAGGGTTCGACGTCGGCCGCACAGCTATTCGCGCGTTGTGTCAACAGCGCGATGCGGAATCCGCCGGTGCTCCAGCGCAGGCGCCGCTAGAGAACGGCAGGCCGCTATTGCGCGATCGCGTGTTGGAGCGTTTTGGGATTGAGGACATACTGGATACGCTGGGGATCATACATTTGCCCGATCCTACGGGACCAATACCCGTCCCCACGGATGGGAAGTACAACTACGCGCATCATGCGCGCGAGAAGAGGTTGAGCACGCTCAGCCCGCTGGTGTTCCAAGCAGCGCTCGAGGATGGAGATCCGCTTGCGTTGAGCGTGTTGAAGGATTGCGCGGGAAAGCTGGCAGCCCATATCGACAGTGTATTGGCCAAACCAGAGCTTGGTGCTACGGTACATCGTCCTTCCTGGTAATTGCACGTACACGTAGCTGATAGATGTGTCGAACAGGATCGGCGCGTACTGGCGTCTGGTGCAGTGGCGTGCTTCGGCGGTTCTCTTGTGGCCATTGACGCGTACCGCGCCTTGGTTCTCGATGCGCTCAAGGATCTTGGTCATTCATTCGCGCATGTTGAGGTCGTGCAGGATGCGGCTGCGGCAGGAGCTGCGGCTCTTGTTGCCTCGTGGAAGGATCGGGCATAAAGTGCATGATTAAATCTGGGGTCATATTGTATCCGCTCTCTTTGTTGTATTTTTGATCCTCTATCCTAGCCCATAGGCACGTGCATGTAGGCCTTTGACAGCCCCAAACTACCTACACTCAGAATGGAGCATGGCCGGCGCAACCTTTCGTAAAAGGGCGGGATTAATAGTAGGCAGTCGACGTTGACCCTAACCCTATCTGGGCACCGGCGCCGGGCGCAGCCGGGCGCGCGACTGACTGCGCTTCCGGAATCCGCAAAGCTCGCGCGACTTGACCACAGCGACGATGTCGTCTATTGCCTTCTACCCATGTCATCACACTTCAAGTGCTCTTAATATACCATCATGATATCTGGGCTCAACATACAGTGCGACTATGATATTAACCGTAAACCGCTGCCCTCTATCCACATAGCCGCGCACTATGTTTGGCCGTGCCAAAGCCGGCCCATCTGTACGAGGGGCCCCAATCGCCTGTGCAGTACGGGGATTGGTGGATTGCAACAGAAAGACTATCTCCATATGGAGTACAGCTACGTGAGGTGGTTTGCACATGGCGGCGTGAACCGCACGGAAAACCCGTCACCAGCTCCCCCTCTCACTTCGGCCCCAGCGCCAGAACAGGGCACGGACTCATAAATCGACGCTATGGCATCGGTTCCAGTACTTCGTTGTCGGTCGATGCTTCTGCATATGCGGACGCTTCGGTTGCAAGCGACTTCGTTCGCTCCGAGCCCTATCGGTCTTTCCTACTTCCAAACAGGACCACTGCTTCTCACAGGCTGTGGACTTCCTCCATGTCGCAATGGTAGCTGTCGGTGGTCGCGACGCATACTCAGGCCCCACCTGAAGCCGGCACTACCTCTTCCCTTCCTGCATCGGGAAGTGCTCGCTCGAGTATAAAACCCATGCATATTCTCACTCTCAGCAACCTCACTACTCACACACCATGTCCTCCCCCGAAATCCCCACGCTCTTCACACACATTCAAGTGGGAAACATGCCACTGCAGCACAGGATTGTGCTCGCACCCTTAACGCGCTTCCGTGCCGACGACGACTATGTACCCTCCGAGTTTGCTGCTGAATACTATGCTCAACGCGCCAGCACTCCCGGTACCCTCCTCATCTCCGAAGCCACTATCATCGCGCCGGAGGCCGGCGGAGCTTATACCAACGCACCGGGGATCTGGGACGAGAAACACATTGAGGCATGGAGGAAGGTATGCTCGATGAGCTGCCGCATCTGGAGTAGAGCGTGACTGACGGGTTCCCCGCTGTAGATCGCAGACGCAGTGCATGCGAAGGGCAGTTTCCTGTTCATGCAACTGTGGGCTCACGGCCGTACGGCTCACCCGGAACTCCTGAAGAAGATTGGCCCGTACGACGTGACCGCGCCGAGCGCCATCCCTCTCGACGAGAAGTATGCGACCCCAGGACCGCTCACTGTCAAGGAGATCAAGGAGTTTGTGCAGTTGTATGCTCAGGCGGCGAAGAACGCTGTCCGAGCAGGTTTGGACGGTGAGCACCCAGTCATACTGACATCATCGTACCACGACTGACGGGTCGCAGGCATCGAGATCCATGGCGCGAATGGATACCTTCCCGATCAGTTCTTGCAGACCAACACCAATCAGCGTACGGACGAATACGGAGGGAGCATCGAGAACCGCATCCGCTTCACCTGCGAAGTTGTCGACGCCATTGCAGCAGCCATAGGTCCCGAGCGCACAGCACTCCGATTCAGTCCTTGGTCGCCCTTCAACGCAATGCGCATGCCAGACCCAGTCCCAACGTTCAGTGCTCTTGTCAATCATCTTGCCAAGCACCAGCCGCGTCTCGCATTCTTACACGTCGTCGAACCACGTATTGGCGCCGGAGATGACGTCAAAGCGATCAGCGAGAACGAGAGCAACGGGTTCGTTCGCGATCTATGGAGTCCGAGGCCGCTTGTGCTTGCAGGAGGGTTCACTCGCGAGACAGCGCTAAGAGAGGCGGAGCGCGGTGAGAACGTGCTCATCGCTATGGGACGGTACTTCACGTCGAACCCGGACCTTCCAAGGAGGTGGGTGCAAGAGGCGAAGCTCACACCGTATGACCGGAGCACGTTCTATACAAAGGGCGCGAAGGGGTATACCGACTGGCCGTGCTCTCAAGAGTCCAAGTTGTAGATGGAGCCGTGATGGTAGGACATCAGGAAGCTGAGAATAGAAGGATAGAAGCATTCATTCCACTGGCAGCATTCCTTGCCAATCTCTACTGTACATTGACTACACACTGGCGGCCGTCGCAGCATGTCTCAGGTGAACAATCGATTTCGTGACTGTGTATGTCCTATACAACTAGTGCGCTTGTGAAGAACTATGCGAAGAGATGACCTCATGGCACAAGTGTGAATGAGGACGATGGTGGTACCGGTCGGCTCAACGCTATTCGCATCGGGCGTCGCGCGCCTATCGCCGAGCGCTGGCCGAGCAGCCGAGATCGGTCCGGATCGACCGGAGGTCGGGAATGCACAACGACACCGAGCGCCGAGCGGCAACCTTGCCCGCTACCATGATCAACGACTCTTGCACTGTTCAGAGTCCACTATCTCTGCTCTTTCATAGCCATTCTGTACATATCGGCGCTATATTGCTCCAGAGATAAATGACAATCGCATCCTTGTCCCTCTTTGGCTTCATCAACATGTCCATCTGGGACCCGGTTCGCGAACCGGGTTTGCGTCAGCTCGATGCTGTATTTATGCGTCAGCTTGAGGTTACGACTGTCACCCAGCCAGGCCTCCCTCCATGCTCGCTCAAGCCACGCTACTCTGCTTCGGGAACGATACGTCTACGTATGGTGTTCACCGACACGTTGGGAGAATATTCAATGTCGGAAACATGTGGTCCCACGCTACCCTCTGCTCGCCATAGGCTTGACTCGCAGCGGGCAAGAACTTCTGTCACTGCGACTAACTTAGCATCAAGATGGACCTTCGAGCTTGAGGATCGTCAGACTGTATGCGTACGTTATGCATCTACGCTCGTGTGTCGCCGAGCTATCTCCGTTGCTATCGCCGGCTAACGTATTTGCGAAGTCTAGCAACACCCATTGTTCTGGCTGACGAAGTTCTCGGCAATAAGCAATTCAAGTGTCGCGTAAGCAGGCAATATCGCTATGTCTAATGTCATATGTCTGTGACGACGCACATTTAGCCGTCTTCAAACATGTCGACGGATTTGCGACTAGGAATGGCAGTGTCATCTGGCTGACGCGGTACGCATGCGTGCGCTAGCGATGTGTAATGTGTATACGACCATGAGCATGTACTGACAAGTGTGTTCTGACTTTGACAGGTCTCTCCACGGTATAAAGACTCTGGCGCTGAAGACAACTTCATACAAGCATCTTAGTTCTAGCTCCCTCAACTGCACAGTCATGTCTCCATCCGCAGAATCAGCTCTCTTCAAGCCCTTGAAGGTCGGCAACTTGGATTTACAGCACCGCGTTGTGCTTGCGCCTATGACACGCTTCCGCGCCAGCGACGACCACGTCAATCCCGACCTCACAACCGAATATTACGCCCAACGTGCTAGTACACCTGGTACACTTCTCATCACCGAAGCAACTGTCATCGCCCCACAGGCTGGTGGCATGCCTAAAGTTCCTGGGATCTGGAATGAGCAACAGATTGCTGCTTGGAAGAAGGTGCGTCGCCCGGGATTACCTTCGTTTGCTGCTCTCTGATGGGGGACTTTCCAGGTCGCGGACGCCGTCCACACCCAACAATCCTTCGTATTTCTTCAACTGTGGTCTATGGGTCGCCCTGCCAACGTCGCCGCCCTGCAGAAGGAGGGATCATACGAAGTCGTTGGCCCAAGCGCGATTCCCATCAGTGATAGTCACCCGGTGCCGCGCCCTCTCACTGTCGACGAGATCAAAGACTACGTGAACCTCTACACCCAGGCGGCCAAGAACGCCATCAATGCAGGCTTCGACGGTATGCCATTTTATGCTCACCTCTAACCTAACATCGACTGATCGCACTGCGTTTGGAACAAAAGGAGTCGAGATTCAATGCGCCAACGGTTATTTGCTGGACCAGTTCCTACAGACCAACTCGAACGCTCGCACGGACGAGTACGGCGGCAGCATCGAGAATCGCCTGCGGTTTCTGTCTGAAATCCTTAAGTCCGTTACCGATGCAATCGGTCTCGAGCGTACCGGTATCCGCATCTCACCCTGGTCATCGTTCTGGGGAATGCGCATGCCCGACCCTGTACCGACTTTCAGCGCGCTCGCGCAGCACCTCGTTGAACACTATCCTCACCTCGCGTACCTTCACGTCATCGAACCGAGGGTGCTCGGCTCCGAAGACATCCCTGTGAGCGACGAAAGTAACGACTTTATACGCAAGATATGGGCGCCGCGCCCGATCATTCTCGCGGGTGGCTTCAATCGTGAGCTGGCGGTAAACGCGGCGGATAGTAGTGGCGAAACCGTGCTTGTTGCGATGGGACGCTACTTCACTTCCAACCCTGACTTACCCCAGAGATGGTTGAAGAAAGTCCCTCTGACACCCTATGAGAGGGCCACGTTTGCCTCGTCAGGACCACAAGGTTACACGGATTGGCCGTTTCACGCTGAAAGTGCACTCACGAACTGATATTCCGTAGTTTACACTTAGTGCTATGAACCTGCGAGCAGATTTACGCACTTGATAACCTCTTTTCTATAATGATCAAACTCTTACATCGCCAATCTTACTCACGTTCAAGCAACGTGCCGAACCATCTCGATAAGCGATCTTGAACGTTGCCATATTCAACTCACGTGGGCGCGAAGTAGGTGTCCGCGACTTTCCGCGGCCAATGCGCAGCCGCGGGAGCCGTAAAGAAGTCGGCGCGTCTACCGTTGGATCAGAACCACCACCGTCCATTTAGACGTACTGACTCTTAATCTCCGTGGTGCCTTTTGGGGCAAATCCACCTCGAAACCAGACTTTATGCCTCCCGAACATGTTACACTCGTTTACCGCATGCGGCAAGATCAAGACTATCCACTTACCGACTGGGTTGATCCCAGACGAGTCATGTTGAGCGTACGCTCAGTCGCTCTAAGCCGGGGTTCAGTGGATCTTGGCATATTAGCCGATTGATGGCACCGGCATTTACCTGCTTATATATTGGTCGGTGTTAACGTTTCTTGCGACAAGGCTCGCTCGGCCAACGCTCGGTGTACGCGACCTAACCGACAGACCCACCTCGGTGCCGGTACAGACAGGACTTACCATGCACAGTACGTGACTAATGATCTTCCTTATGCGCCCTCGCTGAGTCTTACGTGCAGGCGTATAAGTACGGCCAGAATGAGTGTCCTACTGCCCAGACACCTCCCGTCCTATCCTCCTTAGACCTTCAACATTCACTACCATGACCGTGGCTCAGCTTCCTACGCTCTTCACGCCAATCAAAGTCGGCAACTCTCTCCTTCAGCATAGGATTGTCCTCGCTCCTCTCACTCGCTTCCGGGCAGACGACGAACACGTACACACCGACATTGCGATCGAGTACTACGAGCAACGCGCCAGCACTCCCGGCACCCTGTTGATTTCTGAAGGAACCTTCATAGCACCTCAAGCTGGTGGCTACCCCAACGTGCCTGGTATCTGGAGCGACGAGCAGGTTGCCGCGTGGAGAAAGGTGCGCCACGTCTCCTGAGCATTGATGGTCTCACACCATCTAACTTACGCGTCCCAGGTCACCGACGCTGTACACGCTAAGCAAGGATTCATATTCGCCCAGATATGGGCTCTCGGTCGTACAGCGTTTGCAGCAGTGCTTGAGAAGGAAGGTCCATACGAAGTCATTGGCCCCAGCGCGATTCCACTCGATGCAGAGCATGCGACCCCTCGGCCCCTCACGAAGGAAGAGATCAAGGAGTACGTGCAGTTCTACGCACAGGCGGCGAAGAATGCAGTACGCGCTGGTTTTGATGGTACGCGTCATATCTCTTGCACCGTTACAGGCGTCAAGCTCACTATGGCTCAGGCGTTGAGATCCACTCTGCGAATGGGTACTTGCTCGACCAGTTCCTGCAGACCAACTCCAACACTCGCACGGACGAATACGGTGGTAGCATCGAGAACCGCATTCGCTTTGTCTGCGAGGTTCTCGACGCGGTCGCCGCTGCTATTGGTCCTGAGCGTACCGCCATCCGCTTCTCGCCCTGGTCGTCGTTCCAGAAGATGCGCATGCCCGACCCTAAGCCGACCTTCGGCGCTGTGGTCGAGTACGCCGCCAAGCACCACCCCAATCTCGCCTACATTCATGCTGTTGAGGCGCGAGCGGACGGGTTCGACATCGTTCCTGAGAGGGCGGGAGAGAACAACGACTTCATCCGCGACATCTGGGCGCCGCGGCCGCTTATCCTTGCGGGCGGTATCACCCGCGAGTTGGCTCTGAAGATAACCGAGCGCGACAAAAACGTTCTTGTTGGCATGGGGAGGCACTACATCTCTAATCCCGATCTGCCAAAGAGGTGGCTGCATGACGCCGTACTTACTCCCTACAAGCGTGAATACTTCTACACCAAGGGCACGGAGGGGTACACTGACTACCCGTTCTCCCCCGATCTTCTCAAGCTGTAGCGACTTTCTGGGTTCGGATGCACATTTGTATGCCTCTATAGGATAGAATAGATGATTCAAGACCTCGAATTATTCATCGCATGGGCGCTTGAACGCGCTCGTCAACACACGTGAGCGCGATCTGAGCGCATATATGATATCAGTCCCACACCTGTCTGTTCGCGCTTCTCTGTTCCGCACCACCAACATCGACTCGTCGAACATCCACCTCAGAGTTCGGGCTCTGCGCGGACTCGCTCTTCTCTATATCACAAGACGGAGCTTGAATCTGCATCGTGTGAACAGCGTACAGCAGCGAATCCGTCCTATACCTCCCGAAGAAGCCGGCGAACCACCACCAGATTTGCTGGGCGCATTCTAAGCTTCACGTTCGCGTTGTGCAACTCAATGTCGCCGTGAAGAAGCACGATGGTAGTGAAGTCCGTGGCCATCTGGCATGCTTCTTGACTGCGCTCCTTCGTTCCGACATTGGCCAGCTGCCGCCGACGTTGCTCTCGAACCGGGGAGGTCATGTTAGCACCTCCTACAGCCAAGGCGTTTTCTCCGCCAGTTACAACCTCCGTCTTGCATCTGTGCTTCTGGCAGAGTACATAAGGGGTGTGCACCTATGGCCAACGATCAGCGATCTCGTGTTGTCATGCGCCCTTTGCTCAATTATCACACTGTGCTGTTTGGGGCAGTGGGTGGGCGGGAGTCCTTTCGGTGTTACCGGAGGTGTCTTCGACGTGAGTACTATTGATCTCCCACACCTCACCTATCGCTGACCTTCCAAGTAGTACCAAGTACCCAACTACACCGAGTGCATCGGGCCCGCTTGGAGCGGCAACGCGCCCATTTAAATCGACGGCACGAACGTTGCGCCTGCTCAGCTTGAATCACTCATACGTCTCGCGCAAGCCTTCGTTGATACGTCTGCAGACCTTCGTTTGCTCACGCTCGCACAGTGATCACAGGAGAACGGAACCGCACCGGACTACCTTATCGATGCAATGTATAACGTTGACGACTACATCGGAACGGCTCTCGACACTGCAGGAGGTTTCGGCGGTGGCGCGGGTCCTGGCGGCGGACGTGGCACTGGGATCGGCGTTGGTGACGAAACTGCGGCGAGTACGCTCAACTTCATGAGGAGGATCTGCCCGTACCCTCTCACAGCACGGTGTACGGGGGGCAACTGGACCACGTACGAAAGCTTCGTGTGCAACTGAGCACGCATAGATACCTCGTCGATCTACATACGTTCCCTCGATGACAATCGCGACGCTGGTCTTTGCCGCTGATCATTACTCGCCGAAGTTCCATTAAGAATACACATCTATACAGCTCATGGTCCAACTTCAATGTAATCACAGCTTACTTCCCTCACCACCATCACTCAAAAACGGCCAGTCCACGTAGCCCTTCGGTCCCTTCGAGTAGAACACCTGGCGGTCATAAGGCGTCAACTCCGCATTCACCTGCCACCTCTTCGGCAAGTCTGGGTTCGAGATAAAATATCTGCCCATCGCAATGAGTACGTTCTCCTTCTCCGCCGCCTCGATCGCGCTCTCCCTCTTGAAGTTGCCCGCAAGGATCAACGGCCTCGGGCTCCATAGCGGGCGGACGAAATCGTTGCTCTCCTTGTCACTGCCTTCGGCATCTGCGTTGCCGCTGACGCGCGGCTCCACGAGATGCACATACGACAGATTTGAGTGCTTATCGGCGAGATACTTGATGAGCGCAGAGAAGGTCGGGATGGGATCGGGCATGCGCATCGACTGGAATGGCGACCATGGGGACAAGCGGATGCCGGTACGCTCGTGCCCGATGGCGGTGGTTATGGCTTGTACGACTTCGGACACGAAGCGCAGCCGGTTCTCAATTGAGCCGCCATACTCGTCGGTACGATTGTTGGAGTTGGTCTGAATGAACTGATCAAGAAGATATCCATTTGCCGAATGGATCTCGACACCTGCAATCACTATTCAGCATCTCGACGAGGTAACGAAGCCCAAAACTTACCATCGAACCCAGCTTGTACAGCATTCTTGGCAGCTTGCGCATACAACTGAACGTACTCCTTGATCTCCTCCACCGTGAGTGGTCGCGGCGGATGCCCACCCGGCGCATGCCCCGCCTCTTCTAGAGGGATGTCGCTCGCGCTGACAACATCATACGGCCCTTCCTTCTTCAGGACCTCAGGGTCTGCTGCGCGGCCTAAGGCCCACAACTGGACATAGATGTACGATGACTTTGCATGTACGGCGTCTGTAATCTATAGGAGGACCTCCAGCACGTAGCCTACGTAGGTCATGATGCAACGCACCTTCTTCCAAGCCGCGATCTGGGCATCGTTCCAGATACCAGGCGCGTTGGGGTACCCGCCCGCTTGAGGGGCAATGAAGGTTGCCTCCGTAATGAGCAGAGTTCCGGGACTGCTTGCGCGTTGTGCGTAATATTCTATGGCAAGGTCGGTGTGTACATGATTGTCGTCCGCGCGGAAACGCGTCAGAGGCGCGAGAACGATGCGATGCTTGAGGTCGGTGTTTCCAACCTTCATCGGTTGAAAGAGCTTGGGGGTGGTTTGGGAGATCTTCATAGCGAGGCGAGGTTCAAGAGAAGGTTGTGGTCGTTTGGGGGTCGATTATTTGAGAACGTCCTTATATACTGTGGCCCTGATCCCGACGCGGACCTCCTCTGTGTGAACTTGGACCCGAATTTTGTCATCTTTTCGATAATTTCCCGCCTCAGGTCGGCACTTGCTTTGGAGCACCCGTTCCAACGGACATTATGAAGCTGGAACGGGCGGAATAGCGTCACCGGTAGAAGGTTGAAGAAAAGGAGCATGTTCGAGCGCTTGCAGCGCGCGAAGCAGACTTCCTGATCGGGGTGGTGATTGGTTGCAATTGTTGATTGCAGATGATCCTTGATGACACGTTGACGTCAGGGTCCTTGATCGGCAACTTGAATGACCGATACCGGTAATCATACCAATGTCGAACGACAACTTGTCCCTCTGAATGCCATACAACAAGCTCAAGGAACGCGACGGACTGGAATCCCCAAGTACTTATTCCCGCTACGCTAGTAGTGGGTCTTGCGCTCGTGAATTCGACACTTGAAAATGGCTCTGGTTTCACATCCCACGTAAATGTGCCTGAACTCGGCTCCTGCCGGGGTCATGGGATCCGCTGACAGATGCTTGCGCTCTCCTCGAATCTTTCGTCGTCTTCGTACCTCCATCTCTGCTCACTATCCCGCGACAAACTCGCCAAGTGTTGTTATATATGACACTACCTTGATCCCGTACGTGAACGCTCGTTTGCCCATGGTCTATCCATCTCATTCCTCACCAACACAGACCGCGTCCTCTCCA